TTTAACTGGCTACTTGCTTATCGCTTTTTCAGCATTTTTCCTGCTGCAAGCAATTAATTTGTTGTAGGCCACCTAGGCACTCAAAAATTTTTTAAGCCTTCAACGGAGAGCGCGTGGTCCGTTCAGGTGAAAGAATAATCCGTAGAATAACGAACCTTGCCGATCGAGGCCTATAAGAATCGACGTACAGTGAGCACATTTGGATGGTGTTTGTAAATGAACATGTGAGAAACGATGGCCTTTACCATTTAGCGCATTATTCAGTGTCTGGATTACCTAAAATGCAAAAGCCAAACTTCAAGAACGCACTGATTGTCCGCTAATGTGAATCTGCATTGGCGCTAAATGAACCTGTTGACTGCTTTTGGGCCAGTTAACCCATTCACTGTCATTTCAAAGTTGAACGCAGCCATCTGTAAAAAAATGCACTTGCAACGACTGACAATTTATAGGGGCGGACTAGAAACGGCCAAAACTGCACTCAAACATAACGGATTTAGTAAAATTGCCACGGAGTAAAAGGAACGGTTCACTCACACTGCAGACAAAAAACCCCATGCAATTAGCATGATACGTTTGCACACCAACAAAGCTTGCTTGCTTTCCTCTAACAGCACAGAGCGAGCAAGGTTTATCAATCGTTACCACTGAGTCAAGGGGGGAATAGCGAATATAAGCGACAGGCGCGAAAAAACAACGAACTCCCGAATACCCATGAAAGATCCCAGACAGCGGGATGTTCAAGAAAGTAAAGAATACTGCGCTGCCTTCGGCCAAAAAAAAATTAGAAAATGGAAAAAACTAACTTTAGGGCTGGCTCCACGTCCTTGTGTTCCCATTACCAGAGTTGAGGCAGTGCTGGGCGTTGGGGTTAACACTCGAGTATTTTCATAAGTTGGTGCTGACGGTACTGGCGAGCCAGAGCTGCTGAAAGCGAACTCATCATGAGGACCCTGATGAGCACAATACCTTTATTAATTATACAATCAGTAAGCGAAGTTCATTGCACAAGCAGCGCCCAAAATACTGGTATGATGCCCTGGATATCACAGAAACCCCCTCAGAAGCTTATTTTTCAGTTCGTACCCAACAGTCCCATTCTGTACGCCCAGTGCTTCTTTCGAAATCTGATTATGGAAGGAAAAAAATCTATCACCTGTTGAGGTGTTGTTGTTTGAGCTGTTGATGGCGCATCATTGAGCTGTTTGATATTTCATAATCACTGCTCTTAGATGTTGGAGAAACCGGACTGCCAAAACCGTCACTGTATAAACCGGAGAGATTGCGCACTGCAAAAGCCATCAAATACTATGTGCTGCAAAAATACAGCAACAGACATTGAATGTTATCCAGGGATGTGGCAAAAATCTAGAAATTCCATATTTGCCAAGTCCGGAAATTAGTATATTAACCATTTACTGATTGAGCTACGAATGCAAACCTGAAGAAAGTCTGTCACTGCTAGGATCAGTAACGACGGTGAAGAAGGAGTCGTTCTGATCGGTGTAATCAGAATGCTGCGATATAATTCGTGATATCTGCTCTTTCTCATCGGTCAGGCGCTCAATCTCACGATCTTTCGCACCGAGCTAAAACAAAAAAAAAATCAAAACTGGCAATCTGTGCTGCTCGTCTCATACTATCCAGAAAAAATCAGCCAACTCTGAAGATATTATCCTTTCAAACACAGAATTCCGTTAAATTCCGCGTACTTTTTTGTCCGTTTCGTCCAGGCGTTGCTTCGTTGCCAGATATGCAGAGCGAATCTTTTTCAGCTCTTCTTGAAGCTGCTGCTTAGCACGGATCTCGGATTGCAAAGCTTGCTGCGCTTCGAGTAGCTCAATTTTTGTCTGTTTATTAACGCGCCGTGAACCCCATCCACCACGTTCCGATGCACTGGCCACTGCCTGGAGCCCTGAAACAAGAAAGCTGCTGTTTTATGCAACAGATGATACCAGCGGAAAAAAATATTCCTCATTTATCAAGAAAACAAAAAAAAAAAAAAAAGTGTGCAGCTCATTTTATTCGCATAATCCAAAAAAAAGAAAAATACCGTTGGAGTAGGAGGGACGATTGTTGGTGGACGAAGACTGCTGCATCTTCAGCGACTCCACATCACCATGGAGACGAGTGGCCAAATTCTGAAAAAAAAAATCAGGAAAAAATGAAGGAAAATCATACGATAAGTTTGGAATTAGGACACAAATGCAGTCCATAAAGGCGCTACCTGCAGAGAATCTCTCGCATCCTTCTCGTCGTTCACCCACTGCAACAGCTCCTGAAGCTGACTTTCGGTGAGACCCGATGCATTTGGGAACGGTAGTGGCGTAGACAAGCGCGATTTGCTGAAATACTACGAATAAGTGAAATATAACGACAAGTCACGCATTATAAAGTCGACACATAGTATATGTTTTGCTCGAAACCTAGCGCAGAAGCCCAACGAGTTAGCATGCCATACGGACGTTTTAAAAAATGTGAATCCCAAATTTTTATAATAAAATGTAACACCTGGAAGAACTGTGAATAGTGCAGGATGAGGGGCGTACCTACGTATCAAGGAAATTTATGGAAGGCTAGTCAACGATAGCCTGGAAATTCTTATTTAAAAACTGGCTCGAATTAAGGCAAAAAACTGCACAGCTGGTTTAACCAGGAAAACGAAACTACGTGGTGAGATTATAAAAACAGTTTTGCGCTTGCCCAGAAATCTTAACTTCTACAAGCGATTTACATCAATCAGTGGTAGAAGCTGAAATTTACACGATGTGCAAAAAGTATCATAGCTGGTGAACGTACAGTTTTAAGGGTACCTCATGCATCGATAGCAATGTGCAGCATTTGCAACAACTGCAAGCAGGCTAGCAAGTAAAAAAAAAAAAAAAAAACTGAAGTCAGTGGAAAGAACTGAATGAACAAATAGTGGAACTACAGAAGCAGCAAAACTGGACGAGAGAAGGAGGAAGGGAAAGGAGGAACATAAGTGAATGAAGATGTTAAATCTCAAGAATTTGAGGAGCAATGATCCAAATCAATTCAACATCCAAACAGAGTAGAAGTATATAAATAATTGGCCAACGCACGGGCTGCCCGTGCGAAGATGCGTTTTTTGCAGAGTTCCCCGCAG